ACTTCAGTAAGAGATGAATGGGAAGATATGCAATTTAGAGAGATGGTTTCGTTCAAATGCTGTCCTCCGTGGTTTAAACATGCTTTTATCGTCTTGCTAAACGCCATTAGCACAAAATTTACATGGGAGCTTCACGATCAAACCAACAACTTAGAGAAAGCAGTTTGAATGACTTTAGATAGATAACGGCTGAAATCGGGGATGTGAACTGTTGATTACTAACTAGGTACTCTTAAGGTAACGCGCACGGTGTGAGACTTCAGTACTAGAGTTCTAACCTTATTGAGTTTACAGGCGCATTCATGAGTCTCCGTACCTGAACGAAACAGTCGTTCAGTACTCTTCGGTCCACAGTTTTCGTTTAACGAAATCCAGCCAATGATATTAACCATCTTTAAACTTTGTGGTTGGATTTAATTTTTTTCTACAGGGATTACAAAGAAAAAATACTACAAGCAAAACTGCAATTTTGCATCAATTTGGATTATTATGAACTAATAAATTGGTGTTTTGATAATTATAGTGATATATAAATTCGATAAGTATACTAAATTACTTTCTTGGAATGTAATTAAATCAATTCTATGGATCTAATCCAAACAGTTTCTGGAATCGCTGGGTTGACAAATGGATAACACAAAAATCCGGCTTTAGATTGGTCATCCATTACGTTTTTGTAATAAAAATTCACACTATTCAGTAGACTACATTTCGACTTAACAAGTAATAATGAGATAATAAACACTTTTATGATCAGCTAATTATTGAAAAATAGATGCAACTATTAGCATAAGGTTTTAGAGATTCTTGAATTTGAAATTTCATATCGTGAAAAGACTTGGTTATACAACCATTGGAAATTAGTCCTATAAGTGGTTAAACTCATGACATTTTTACCTCGCGGATAGCGCCTGACCCTCGGACCACTAAACTGGTATCCAGAGATTTTCATTTTTAACTTCAGTCGATTATTGATAATATGCATCTATTACCCAATGCTGTTGTGAAAACCCCATTCCAACAAACTTGTTTAACAATAATTTACACCAAATTTTCCACATAAGTACCATTTAGGTGCAGTTGAAAACGAAACCAACATACATGAATATTTTTTCTGAGAAAAGTCTATGGTTAAATAGCGGTGGTGAATTTAGAACTGAGATGAAGTCAGCTATCAGATCAAGTAAATCCTTAGGTAAAACTAATGAGTTAGTATTAGATAAAGACCGAGAGACGGTAGTGAATCGTCCAGAAATCAGATCTTTTCTTGATTTAATAAAGGTATAGATCAGGAAGACCTAGATGACGTGATATTGTTGAATATATAATGAATTGAATGAGTGATGAAGAATGTTGGAACTAAGGATATTCGGGTTGACTTCGTGGTTTTAATGCAACGCACTCGAAGCAAGACTTATTTGTCCTGTTCTTATTTTTTTCCGAGGTCGTTTGTACCACTGGTGAGTCCTAGATTAAGATGAAACAGTTCTCTAGTACATCTTGACAATTTACTTGAAGTTAGTATGTAATCGGATAAATTGCAACCCGAAAAATAGACATTAATTTTACGGGAAAGTCACTTCAATTATTTTCCATTTTGTTCACTCATAATGATTGTTTATAGATATGAAAGTGTTACAAATGTGCACCTACTCGTATTGGATCAAAATAAGCCTACAAACCGGTCGATAAGGTTGAGCATCGCATTTCCACAACTTCCTATGAAGTTCTTCAATGTGATGGTATTCCACCAAGTAACACTGCATATTCTCAGGGTCTAACTGTCCCACTTAGAATGCTTTGTTTTTTGTCACAGATTTACTTATTAATACTAACATACATATCCAAATTTTTCAACGGAATTCTGCTTGTAACCCACCTACGCTAAAACCTCTAAACCAACTAATCCAGCCTCTGTACGGATTGACAATCGAATATCCATGCAAAATTTACCCATTCACAGACCACCGACCCGAACAATAAAAGGACCAACCAAGTACCTTGCATTTTTCGAACTTAAAATCTCAAGTGAATAGTTCAATAAGATGGAAGACCACGAATCATGATAAATAATAAATTTCAGTAGGTATACAGTTACGGCATTCGTGATGTAGTTAAATCACAGGTATATAACTGACTGCAATCTATAAATGGCGAAAATTATTGCAAGTTAATAATTTATGTGAAAATCCACGATTAGAACAAAATAAAAATACTACCAGCCATTAGTTTAATAAACAAACAGAAAATGTACAAACTGATTCCCTCAAAAGTAGTTTCCGAATTAGCTTTCTACGCAATTTCCTAACACGTTTTTAATCAGTGTTAATAGTACTAAAACGGCAAAGCCGAGTTTTATCCAACCTGATTCGCAAACAACCTCTAAAATATCGACTGACTGCGCATGTCTTACCCAAATACTAATTCTTCATTCCTGTATTTTTGTGTAGCAGATTAACAACGCGGCGTTATACCAGTCATCTGGATAACGAGTGACTGCAAGGTTACCGCTGCCCGAAGTTTAACCATCTAGTAGTCTAGTCGTATGTCATTTCATCATTTGGACTAAGGAAATGTTGGATGTATTATACTCGATTTTTGTGAGGGAGCATTTGAAATATGAGAACTAAGCAGTGAGTTCTTGTTTCAAATAACAGGTGGATATTCCAGAACTGGTTCAGCGGTGGTGGATAATAACAGCAAAAGTTTTCTCTGGTCCATCCTATGAAGACAGATTGAGACACCTCAACTTCATCAGCACTAGCTTTAGGCAGAAGTAAAGTATAAGCATTGTCATCTCACTCACTCAACCTGATGTTTAAGGCTCACAGCAACACGCCGAACCACGCTAAAAGCTCTTGGTGCTAAAAACCATCTGTACTCTCTATACCTTCGCTATCGATGAGTCAGTCAGCTACAACGTAGGACTAGGCACATATGGGTATTGTTCCAAGTTGCCACACTTTATTAGCACAAGATGATCACCAAATTCATATGAGTAGTTACTTCAATGATAGTAATATATAAAAGATTGTGTATAGGGATATAGTACAGCCGATGAACGTCGGCTGTAAAGACAGGTACATTCGGAAGACTGTGAACCATTAGTGTACAGCAGCCGCCACAAAGTTTACTTCGCAAATATGCCCCACGTGCATCATAAACTATTGGTGAGCTTACATAGGAAAACTAACAACTATGTACACAACCGACACTTTGTCTATCAAACCATTGTGCCATGGAAACTATTTGGTTCAGGTAAAATAACTAGATTTGGACGTAAAAAGACAGGTTTACTCAAAAATTACGACGGAATAAGCTTTTTCTACTGTAGCTTGTCATTTTTTTCAATTCAATATTAAGACTAACAACAAATTAGTTTGAGGGAAACAAATTGCACAACAGATCTTCCTAGAAGAATCCAAAATAGAGTTCACACTGGGACATGACCTATACAACTAACTGTCAAGGACCAGGCTACTGATTCACTAATGCTGTAACTACTGTAGTTTAAGAACGCTGGCTAAAGATCTCGACAACTAAAATCAGAACAACTGGTCTTAATCCCATTTTACTTGTTTCAAATGGTATCTGTGACCCTTGAAAGCATGGGGCTCAGAGACAGAAGAATGATGTTGTGTGTGGTTACAGAGTCGTGGTAACCAACTATTAGATAATACTGTGGCTCGAGAAGCCCGAATTAGACATAATAAACCAGTGGACAAACAGGCAAATGATTATTGCATTGAAGGTCTCTATGTTGTAGCTGACTGATAGAAATAGATCGACTAATATTGACTACAATTAACCGGTGTATATCACTGTATCACAAGTTTGGACATGGTCAAGACTCTTTGTGAGAAATTCTCATCATTGACACCCTAGCATCAGAAAAAACTGAGACAATGTTTGCATATTGTACAGTTTATTGTTGATCAACAATTAGTTGAAATATTCTTTGTTCGCACGTTACTTAAAGTCTGAATCACTCGAATAGAGTTGCTGTTATGAAGCAGTGGAACGATGGTTAGCTAATGAAATTTTAAAGCACTGTAGAATATAGCTCAAACATACAAATATTTCCGGTAACTTTTCATTAGGCTTGACTATCGGAAACTACACAGAATCGTTACGATTACAATACAAGCACATGATTTTGAAGATTACAATAGTTACGAAAAATCATACAAACGTTGATGAACATTAAGAGTATATAATCACGATTGCAAAGCATAGTGGAATAGCATCGAAAATACATATTTACTTAGAGCGTATGTTCAAGAATTGAAATGTAAGCACAAACCGCATTTCAGCTTCTTTGGTTTGGATAATTAAAAAGCATCTCTCTAAGACAATAAACTCAAAAACACATATAACAACCTGTATTTTGAGTCGACATGACTTCATGCATTAGAAATTTCCAAGTAAAATCATACGACAAGCTACAAAACAGTACAATTGAGTAGAATTACATTTCATAACCAGTCCAATATTGCTAAAAATCCAAGCCAAAGCAAATATAACCGAATTAAAATGAAACGAAGCCTTTAAAAAGCAACGAGAAATGTACAAGTTATCCAATGACATTACACATCAATGGAAGTGTTTGGTGACGGGAAATTAGAAATCCAACTATTATTTTACATTCATTACACAAAATCAATGATTCATTTACAACTTAAAAAGAATGAACACACAACTAGGAATTAGTGGCATGGACTAAAATAGACTTTCTTTTAGTGAAATGAAAAAAACAACGAACATGTCTTGAAGACCAGGACAGTATTATTACAAGACAATGCAATACAATAAATAGTGGGACGGAGTTCTCTATAAAGATGTAGCACATAAAAGAGTCCAGAATCGCTTTGCATAGTGCAGTTTGTTATTCGAAATTTATTTATAACGACAGTGATATTGACGCCACACGAAAGACGACCAACTGCACATGTGTGGATTCTATTTGAAATGCACTTTTATGGTGCCCATAACGACACCACTCAAGTATTTGAACTAAATGCTGTATGACTGAAACACGCCAAAGCATCCAACTGTTTATCATCAACAAGCGAAAACCTCTTGCTAAATGCGAAGAAATGTCTGGCTAGGGTATTCATATGAGGTATTAACTCAAGTTGATCTAGATGATTAAAATGTGCAACATACATATGAACTATACAGACTAGTATATTTTTGCATATAACGGAAACATACTGGGGCAAATCAGGAGGAAATGGTTCACCATTTCGTATAGGAAATAAACGAGGGCATTGAATAAGATCATGGCAAGAAGATAGAGCACCATCAATAGCTTGACGAGCTGAAATTCTACTGTATTGTGAGATGGAGCCTGCAATGAGACTTTTGTTCTTTTTGCCGCGATCGTCTTCGCTCTGTACACCAAGAGAACTATTTGAAATTTCCAGTAACAATGAGGAGACAATATTGTGGATCCCTGAATCTTCCAAAGACTCCCACAAGCTTCGGCAACCGCAGAGCTCATATATGGCGTCATATATTATACTAATATTGTCAAATAAGGCAATCGTGTGTGCAGCAAGCCACTCATTTGTATCCATAGCTGGAAATGGCTCTACAACATCACAGAACTCAGGATAAGATGAATCCAAAAATATGGGTAATTGCTGGGAAACATAAACATTTTTCATGTACATTGGAATTTTTTGGTCAGCATGAGTTTCTGTTTCAACAGACACCCCAGGTGATTGCGAACACTTGCTCGGCACCTGAGAAACTTGAGCGTTTACAGACAGAGGTGAAGGGGCGCGAAACTTTACAGCTGAGCCGCCACGAGATTCATTTGCAGAAAACTCTTTCACAGGAACAGGAGAACGTCTGTTGTCAGTTTCAGCACTTACACTGCTAGTACTCAATGGCGGAGTGCCATTCGGAGAGATACAATGACTATGATGAACAACGGGAATAGGTTCTGTTGCAGCGGAAGAAACAATGCTGGGAGGGGAATGCATGAAGCCACGACTTACCCCTCTAGCTTTCCCCATCAACCAGTCCATTTACCTTGAGGCCTGGTCTTTGAATGATTTGTGCCTTCTGTTAGTATAATAGTGTACTTGAAACTTCGTTTTATGTAGGGTATTCCAATATATTTAAAGAATAAATGAGTCTGAAAGATAACAGGAGTAACATCCAGGCATCTTCTAAGCAGTTACAAAGAATGTAACATCAATACACAATGAATTAAACCACTAAAAAATCAAAACAAACAGGTATACACTGAAGATAATCCAGGATATCTATATAAAGCAGAAACCAATAATCTTGCAGACGACTTGAGGTTAAAATACGCGGTTCGACAAGTGCATCAAAACTGAGTAAGGTCAGAGCGTGATATAAAAAAACAAATCAAGATAATGAAAATTAGAAATGTTGAAAGAGTTGAGCTGAATTTTACAAATAGTGAAGAATATTTCATGCTTTTAGAGTTAAATCTCATCAGTTAACAAATCTCCTAAGGCAATCGTTCTGTCACAACTCAGCTTGCTCAGTACAGGTTCTGAAAGCAGAATTCTCGGCCATTTCTCTTCACAGTGCTTGTATTCAACTCCACCTACACGCCTAATCTACGTGTCCCGGCACTCAAACATATACTAAACACCCAATTCCCAGTGAATACCATACTTGTCATTATGAACCTCATTTATTCAACTCCTCAACCTCTGTTGTAGGCTACTTAATTTTATAAATTCTTATGTCACTGGTTATCTGTTGTCTCGAGTTTTACCATTATATATGGTCTTTAGATTAATCTGCTAGATCAGAACTTAGCTGTAGCAGTCTCGATAGTTCACGAGATAACTAGGAAAATAAACTCTCGACATATAATACTAAGAGAAGGCCAGTAATGGTGAACATGGCAACACTCGTTCAAAACTCAATTCATCGGATGGCATGGTTCAGCCCTGCAGGCGTGATCATTCTTGTGTAGCTAATCTCATCTATTCATATGAAGTATATTGTTCTATCCCCAGTCTAGATGTATTCTCCATCATATATTGGTGGTAACTACGAGAGGATTGGGCATGGGGTTAGCGACCCCATCCCGTAGAAAATCAACTCGCTAAAAAAACGCTAACCAGAAAAAATCATTCAAACCATTCAATCTCTGCCCTGGGAGTAGAAGGAATAATTATGACGTCTCATGATGAAAGCCGAGTTCCTTCGGAAGTCATGAGGCCGATGCACCTTCTTACAACCAGAGCAGCAATTTTTATAGGTACATGGAATGTCCGGACAATGTGGGAGACCGGAAGAGTCTTCCAAATTGCTGCAGTAATGAGAAAATACAACCTGGAGGTTCTTGGAATCAGTGAAACGCATTGGACGCAGGTTGGACAACAACGACTGTTTTCAGGAGAACTTCTGTTATAGTCCGGTCATGAAGAAGAAAATGCACCACATACACAAGGAGTTGCATTGATGCTGTCCAGAAAAGCACAAAATGCACTTATAGGATGGGAATCTCATGGATCGAGGATCACCAAAGCCTCCTTCGAAACAAAGAGAGAGGGCATTACAATGAACGTCATCCAATGCTATGCGCCGACCAACGACTACGATGAAGACGCTAAAAACCAATTCCACGATAGGCTGCAGTCAATCTTCGAGAAGTGCCCAACCAAAGACCTGACCATTCTGATGGGAGATTTCAATGCCAAGGTTGGAAAGGACAACACTGGATACGAAGACGTCATGGGACAACATGGACTGGGAGAAAGGAACGGAAATGGTGAGAGATTTGCAAACCTATGTGCCTTCAATAAACTGGTCATAGGTGGCACCATATTTCCACACAAAAAGCATGGCCATTAGACAAATCAAGAGCGGCAAAGCAGCGGGACCAGACAACATCCCGGCAGAGGCACTGAAAGCAAATGTAGCAGCAACTGCCAAGATACTACACATCCTCTTCAGTAAGATTTGGGATGAAGAACAAGTACCAACAGACTGGAAAAAAGGACTTCTGATCAAAATACCAAAGAAAGGCGATCTCAGCAAGTGCGACAACTACAGGGGCATCACTCTCCTCTCAATACCAGGAAAAGTCTTCAACAGGGTATTGTTAAACAGGATGAAGGATTCCGTAGACGCCCAACTTCGAGATCAACAGGGTGGATTTCGTAAGTATAGATCGTGCACAGATCAAATCGCAACTCTACGTATCATTGTGGAACAATCAATCGAATGGAATTCATCACTCTACATCAATTTCAACGACTTCGAGATGGCATTTGATAGCGTGGACAGGACGACACTATGGAGGCTTCTTCGACACTACGGCGTGCCTGAGAAAATAGTCAATATCATACGGAACTCCTATGATGGACTAAACTGCCAAATCGTCCACGGAGGACAACTCACCGACTCGTTTGAAGTAAAGCCCGGTGTTAGGCAAGGTTGCTTACTCTCACTCTTTCTCTTTCTCCTGGTGATCGACTGGATCATGAAGACGTCAATATCTGGAGGAAAGCACGGGATACAGTGGACAGGCACGATGCAACTTGACGATCTAGACTTCGCGGATGATCTGGCTCTTCTATCACAAACGCAACAACAAATGCAGGAGAAAACGACCAGTGTAGCAGCAGCCTCAGCAGCAGTAGGTCTCAATATAAACAAAGGGAAAAGCAAGACTCTCCGATACAATACAATATGCACTAATCCAATTACACTTGACGGAGAAGCTTTGGAGGATGTGGAAATCTTTACATATCTGGGCAGCATCATTGATGAACATGGTGGATCAGATGCAGATGTGAGGGCGAGGATCGGCAAAGCAAGAGCAGCATACTTACATCTGAAGAACATCTGGAGCTCAAAACAATTGTCAACCAACACCAAGGTTAGAATTTTCAATACAAATGTCAAGACAGTTCTATTGTATGGGGCGGAGACTTGGAGAACTACAAAAGCCATTATCCAGAAGATACAAGTGTTTATTAACAGTTGTCTACGCAAGATACTTCGGATCCGATGGTCAGACACTATCAGCAACAAGTTACTGTGGGAGACAACAAATCAGATTCCAACGGAGGAAGAAATCAGGAGTAAGCGCTGGAAGTGGATTGGGCACACTTTGAGGAAATCACCCGATTGCGTTACAAGACAAGCCCTCACATGGAATCCTGAAGGTCAAAGGAGAAGAGGAAGACCAAAGAACACATTACGCCGAGAAATAGAGACAGACATGAGAAGAATGAACAAGAACTGGATAGAACTAGAAAAGAAGGCCCAGGACAGAGTGGGTTGGAGAATGCTGGTCGGCGGCCTATGCTCCATTGGGAGTAACAGGCGAAAGTAAGTAAGTAATTAAGTAACTACGAGAGGATGAGTCAGTGTAGGCAATGATGTGACTTCCATGTAATATCTTAAAGATTAGGTAGTCATATCATGACAAATCCACAATTTTAGGATTGGGTATATTATTAGGACAGTACTAATGACGAAGTTTACCATAATTCTACAGTTGAATTCAATCTTCCTGTAGTGGGTTTTGCGGACCTCACATCCGTTGGATGCAAAAACTCTGTCGTAGCCCGATTCTTCAACCTCACGGAAGATCTGGGATTGTTCGAAAATGTCAGTTAAAAAACTCATTAGGGAGACAGTCATACACCATCGCTCTTACACTGCGTATTTACAAACGAAGAATTCTTAACTGATAACCTCTCAACCCTGGTTCTTCTGTGTGAAAGTGATCATGCTATCATATCTTTCAGTTTTATTGGCAAGACTGAGCTAAGACATGCTATGTAGAATAGGAGCTAGAGTTTCAAACGGTCATGGGTATCAGCTTTAAAAGGACAATCTACAGCAGATGGACTGGGAAGATCACCCTCAACTTGATGTAGGTACTCATTAGAATTTCGTACTGCACATGATCTTATGTGCTACAAAGCTCGGAGTCAAGAATATACAGAATTTCTTTAAGATCTGAAATACCTCTAGAAGGTCGGATAAAAAGCAAGATGGCACAAGGTGAACTAGAAATGAGTCGATAAACTGGTGGGAAAAACTCCGCTCAGTGGGTTTTCGAGTACTAAGGTCTCGGAAACGAAAGCGATTTTTACCATTGATAATGCAAGCCAACAACCAAATATAATGGCGATCTATCGATAGTTCCTATGGTCGCTGATAAAAGATATGTTTTACTATTAGTTTAACATCTCAGACCAGATAAGTTCAGTGTTCCTGAGGATGTCCATCCTAGTATTCTGAAAACCCGGGTGGATGAGATTGCTGAACCTTTGAGAACACTGTTTCATATGTCTTTATGACAGTCCAAACTGCCACAAGATTGGAAAAATGCAATTATCAGCCCGGTTTATAAAACGAGGGGTAGAGACTTTGTAACTACCAACCCGTTAGTCTGATCCATGTAGGTGTCTCTTTAATGGAAATGAATTTAAGTGTTTTCATTCTAAAGTGTATAGACAGAAATGGTCTTTCATTCAGAGAATAGCACGGTTTTAGGAAAATACTATCATGCCTGAAAAATCTGCTCACTGCAAGAGAAGGTTGGGCTTCAGATAAAGATAGAAATATTCCAGATGTGATTTTCATAGATCCAGGTAAAGGCTTCTACGAGGTCTCTTGTCATGGTCTTAAATGAAAACGGGGAGGTTTTGGGATTGATTATGAAACCATAGATATGAAAAATGGCTGTTTGAGTGATAGGGAACAACGGGTACAGGTGAATAGGACTTTATCAACATGGGATTCTGTAAAAAGTGGAACTCCCCAACAAACAATCCTTGGCTCTTTACTTTTTTACTTCATTTAAATGACTGACCACCTGTAGTAAAGTCATCTGTTCTACTCTACAAAGAAGTCATAGTGAGTATTGACCTCAAAACTTCAAGGTTGCTGTCGCCGAATGCTTCAGGGTTTTAGGAGCCTTCACCACCAATGCTCGCTAATTAGTAACTCTAACCTCCCTGTTTTTGTGACGCTAGGCTCATTTCAGCTTACTTTAGGACAAATATTGTACTTCACA